TCTACTTCATTCCTATTAGCAAACATTCTGCCATCCCAGTAAAAAAGCTTTCTCCTGACTCCACTTCCCCCACTTCTTTACTCCCCTTTGCAGAAAAACTCCTGGAAAAATATGTCTCTATTCTCAATTCAGAGTTCCTGGGTAGTGCAAATGGTTAACGCACTTGGCTGCTAACTGAAAGGTTGGCGGTTCGAGTCCACCCAGAGGTGCCTCAGAAGAAAGGCCTAGAGAAGTACTTCTGAAAACTCTGCCAATGAAAACCCTATGGAGCACAGTTCTACTCTGACACACACGGGGGCTCCAGACTTGGGAGGGACTTGACGGCAACCAATACCAGTTCTCAGTTCAGCAGCGTGACTTGAGTTGGCGGGAAAAAGTACGGCAGTATCCATGCCTTACAACATTCGCTAGCAATGAGAAAGACTTTCAGGCTGTAGACGGCTCCACAGAAATAAGCTCCATGTAGAAGTTAAACCACGTTTTAAAAATACAAAATGCCAGTGCAAATTCTGTATTTTCATTTTTCTGACTTAATCTGTTCTCAAACTATCTGAAAAATAATTTGCAATGATGTAAGTTTAAACAAATATGAGGAAGATTCCTTGATTGTTTTAATAAAATATGCAATTATTAACTATTTTCAATCACTTGACAATTTAAAAAGTAATTTTTTTCCTAAGGAAAGTAAAAAAATTATTTTATTTAAAAAATATAAAAAAGAAAATAAAAATTTCACCTTTAGTTCAACTACCTTGAAATAACGATTGCTAACCTTTGGCTGCCCCTGAGTCGTGCGAATTGTTAACACCCTTGGCTGCTAACTAAAAGGTTGGAGGTTCGAGTCAACTCATAGGCACCTCAGAAGAAAGGCCTGGCAATCTACTTCCAAAAAATTAGCCATTGAAAGCTCGTGGAGCACGTTCTACTCTGACACACACGGGGTTGGCATGAGTTGGAATCAACTCTATGACAGCTGGGTTTTTTTTTTTTGTTTTTTTTTTTTAATATTTAGCTGTTTTATCTTCTGATCTTTTTCAAACGTGTTCATTTTTTTTAAATCAAAACCGGGATTTTACATTGTATACAGTTTTGTATCCTGACCTTTTCACTTTATACATAAACATTTTCTAGGTCACTAAATATTAATCAGAAACAATGTTAGAAGCCTGAAAGATTGTATCACAAAAATGCATCATAATTCAACATTTCTTTATTAATGGACCTTCAGGAGGTTTCCCATTTATCTCTATTACAAATAAAGCTGTACTCTGAGTTCTTTGCACATATTTACCCAACAGAATGTGTAATTAGAGCTGCCACGGATTCCTGGGACAAGGGCTGCTGCTAAAACATCGTACACGCTTTATATCTCTACCCACATCAAGTGTTTTCATACAAAATCAAATAAAACACTTTGCTAATTTGAACTGCAAGAGGAAAATATCATTTTATTTTGGATTTATTGGATTAGTCATAAGGATGGACAGATTCCTGTGCATTCCATCTGGAGGGCAGTGTTTCATTCTGGGTACACAGGGTCGCTATGAGTCGGAAGCCACTCAACGGCACCTAACAGTGACGAGGATGGACATTCTTTTCACGCTTGTTTGGTTATTAGCATTTCGTTAGCAAATTGTCTGTACGAAGCTTTAGCCCATCTCTTTATTAAGGTGCATTTGCGTCTTCAATTCAGCATGCACTAATGATGATAATGAAGAGGGAGATTTTCTTTAACCCTGAGCTGTTTAAAGAGCCCACAGAATCAAGACTCCCTAAAGAATGCATTCCAGTCATTTCACTTCTACGACTTTGCAGGTTGCAAACTGAAAAACTCCAAGAGCACCTCTGAAGGGTGCTTGAAAGAACAACCTCAGTGAGAGGCTGGCTAATTGGCATGACTGAAGGACAGACAGACGATGAGATGGCCCTGAAGTATTTCTTATTACTTTGTAAACCATCCCTGATTCCACAGGAGGGGAGAGGAGACACGGGCAAACCTCTGTTTCGTTTATTTTTCAATTTCCTTTGTTGTTGTTGTTAGGTGCCATCGAGCTGCTTCTGACTCACAGCGACCCCGTGTACACCAGAAGTAACACTGCCCAGTCCTGCGCCATCCTCACAATGGTTGTTATGCTTGAGTCCATTGTTGCAGCCACTGTGTCAATCCATCTCCTGGAGGGTCTTCCTCTTTTTTGCTGACCCTCTGCTTTACCAAGCATGATGTCCTTCTCCAGGGACTGATAACATGTCCAAAGAATGTGAGAAGTAGTCTCACCATCCTTACTTCGAAGGAGCATTCTGGTTGTACTTCTTCCAAGACAGATTTGTTTGTTCTTTTGGCAGTCCACGGTATATCCAATATTCTTCACCACCACAATTCAACACCACAATTAAATTCCCTTTAAGGAACACAAAATAGGTAATAATGATAAAGGTCAGTCATAAAATACCACCTGGACTCAAAGCCTTTTTCTGTCGGGTGATGCTTAGCAAAGGTCCCCCAAGGCCTGTTAATCAGGGACTTCTGTGTAAGAGGCCAATGAGATGCTTGGAGATGTCCTGGTGACTACAAATTGCTGTTAAAATGGTCACAGCAGAGATTACTGTTTGCTCCTCAACTTATGTTTCCTCACCGGTTACGGTGATCTTTTGTAACCATGGACGCCAAGGGAAGTACGGATTACAGGCATTGTTTTTAAAAACACGACAATCCCATAGCTGTCTATGCACACCTAACACGAAGGAGGATGAAAATTCATAAACACACTGTGAGTATCTCCAGAAGATGGAGTAAGAGTGCGTTGGGTTTTCGTTTTTATATTTTGCTATCGTCTCTAAGAACTCCGCAGTGAGCACTGCTGTATTTAAAAATCAGGAAAACACTAATGCTGTGAGCAAATGGAAGCACACACAGCAATTCACAGCGACGAGGCCACGCCTACCGCATTCTGCCCCTTTAGGCAGGCCAATGGTTGGCCACACAATTTCCTGTTTCTATTTGCTTGCTGTTTGTTTTAAATTCAAAGACAATGCTACGGTTAAAGGTCAGGAGCTAGACTCGTGTTTTGGAATCTTTGTAAGTAAATATACAATAAAAGGTAAGTAAGAGCTCCGCAGTGAGTCAGCAAGAATTCACTAAAGATACAGACTATTCATAACTCACACCTAGACCAATTCACCAAAGATAGAGACTATTTACAACCTACAACCGGACTGATGAACAACATCATGATACACGGAGAAAAGACTGAAGTTGTCAGGGATTTCATTTTACTTGGAGCCACAATCAATGCCCATGGAAGCAGCAGTCAAGAAATCAAATGACATATAGCTCTGGGCAAATCTGCTGCAAAAGAAAACCTCATTAAAGTCTTAAAAACCAAAGACGTCACTTTGAGGACTAAGGTATGCCCGACCCAAGCCCTGGTGTTTTCATTCACCTCAAATGCATGTGGAAGCTGAACAATGAATAAGGAAGACCAAAGAAGAACTGACACCTTTGAATTACGATGCTGGCAAAGAACAGTCAATATACCATGGACTGCCAGAAGAAGGAACACATCTGTCTTGGAGGAAGTACAGTAATAATGCTACTTAGATATGAGGATGCCGAGACTTTGTCTCATGCACTTTGGACATGTTATCAGGAGGGACCAGTCCCTGGAAAAGGACATTATGCTTGTAAAGCAGAGGGTCAGCGAAAAAGAGGAACACCCTCAACAAGATAGACTGACACAGTGGCTGCAACAGTGGGCTCCAACATAGCAACAACTGTGAGGCTGGCGCAAGATCGGGCAGTGTTTCATTCTGTTGTACACAAGGTCACTGTGAGTCGGAACCAACTCAGTGGCACCTAACAACAACAACGGCACCTAACAATGAACAATCTGTAGATTATTTCCTTACCTTTGTAAACGAAATGGTAAGTCATCTGTAGTTGGTAGTGATGAGTGGTCTATTCATTGTTGAGATTCTTTTCCTTCCCAGGTTCCTGTTAGAATAGAAATCACTGGTCAGTATTTATTCATAGACCTTCCTCACCACCACACCGCCCCCCCCCCTCAGAAAAACAAGATCAGCAGTGGCTACAGAGATACATACAATGTAATCAGTTAAAATAAGAAGGAATATACATGAGGGAAGAAGAAAGGTGGAAAAGAAGACAGCATCAGCAGTAGGGGCTATGCACAGAACACCAGCTACACCCTGTGCAGTTGTTGTGTGAACTGTACAGCTTCCAATCGGATGCTGAGCTTCCTAGTGGCCACAGCAAAAGAAGACATGGTCAATTGCCAGATACCCCATGTCAATAAGATAAAAGCAAACATTTTGCTCAAAAATATCCAGGGATTGACGATGGGGAGGAACCGTCTCCCACGGGCCTTTATAAAGAAGACCTTGTGCTAAATGTAGACAATTCTTCAGCATTACCCCTAAGATAAATCAACTGTGATTTTCATAAAGATTGTTTAGATAACATAATCTCAGAGAACAGTTCAATAAACCTCTTTTGCTATAATTATTTTTTATCAGAAGAGACACATGCTCCTTAAAATCAATTTTAAAAATACAGAGAAGCACAAAGTAAAAATGAAAGGCTGGATGGGAAGCTTAGGAGGCAGTGAGTTTAAAGTAATGTCTGTGGAATCCTTTGGAAAAGGATAGCGAGAACGGTTGCACAACTCGAAGAATGCAATCAATGTCACTGAATTGTACGTGTAGAAATTGTTGAAATGGCGTATCTTTGGCTGCATCTTCTTTCACCAAAATTAAAAAAAAAATTAATAAAAATTTCCTACTCTTATCTCTCCCTGACATAACCAATGTTAACAGTTTGTTGTATACTCTTTCAAAAATGTTATCTATGATTGTTTAAACACACACACACAGAGACATATTTTTGCCACTGGCTTCTACCAGTATACTTTAAACAGCCTTTCAAATCTACATGTCTGCCTCATTTTTATATGACTTCATATCATTCCGGAGACAGATGTGCCATCCTGTAATCAATCACTCCTGTCCTGATGAACATTCACATTTTTTCCAGCTTGGGTTACTGTAACCAGCGCAGCATTAAACAACCTCATTGAAACATCTTTGATGTTCTAGCACTTTTATTTCTATGGGAAGGAGTTCTAGAAGTGGGATTGTTGGGCCAAAGAATAAGCACACGAACTATTCCACTCACTAATGCCACACTCCTTTCTGTACAAAGTCTGAAGCAATCAGCCCAATGGTACACGGAGATCACTACTGTCCCATCTTTATCCGGTTTTGGTGTTGAGGTACTGATGTTGTTAGGTGCCATCGAGTTGACTTCGACTCATAGCAACCCCACATGACAGAGCAGAGCTGCCCCATAGGGTTTTCTAGGCTGTAATCTTTACAAGAGCAGATCACCAGGTCTTTCTCCTGAGGAGCTGCTGGGTAGATTAAAAACCGCCAACTTTTCAGTTAGCGGCCAAGCACTTAATCACTGCGCCACCAGGGCTCCTTAGGTGGGAAGCAGTTCATCATTCAAGGATCCACATACAGGGCACGCTACACACCCCTAAGAGCCTTCTGTTAGGAATGAGAAGCATCTGTAGGTAACTGGCTTTCCTCAGCGTTCTATACCATGGTAACGGTGAGAGGCAGAAGGTTCCTGGGTGGCACAAACGGTTTGCACTCGACTGCTATCCAAAATATTGGCAGTTTAAACCCACCCAGAGGCACCTCAGAAGAAAGTCCTGTCGATCTGCTTCCAAAAGATCACAGCCATTGAAAACCCTATGGAGCACAGTTCTACTGTCTAACACATGGGGTCACAAATCTACTCGAAAGCAAAGGGTTATTGTTTTATTTTCTTTTTTTGGTGGTAGGCAGAATGCTGCTCACCCCCACATCTCCAAAGATGTTCATTTTCTAATCCCCGGGACAAAGAGGCATTAAGATTGCAGAGGAAACTGAAGTTGTTAATCAGCTGACCTTGAAGTAGGAGATGGGGGCTGTCAGGTGCAGTTGAGTAGTTGCTCCTAGCGACTCACAGCGACCCCATGTACAACAGAACTCCGCGGGTCTGCGTCGTATATGACTGCTCCCTCTGCCTGTCCACCCCACCTCCACAAGAGCTGATCCCTAATAATCACCTTGCACCCTAACTCCATCCCGCACGCTGCTATCAGAGCACCCAACCTGTGGTATCTCTCCTCTGTCCCTTTCTTCCTCCTCCTCAGGGGGAAATACTTGGAAGGTTTTTACTCTGTGTCTGCCTGCTCCACTCCCAACCATTAAACGTCTCCTCACAGTCAGTCAGTACGTCTGCTTTCAAGAAGTCGTAAGTAACGATTCATAGTCCCAAGCTCCCCACTTACGTAGATGGGGCCGTATGTTTCACAAGGTTCTCTGCTCGTCACTGTTTCCTGGGTTCTTCTTCCTCCCCACCCGTCCTGACATCTTCGTTCTGACTTAATTGTCTTTTGGTGGGACCACTTCTCAAGTAGCTCCCTCAGAAATGGCATACGGTAGGTCCGTTCTGAGTCACTCCACGTAGGTCCATTCTGAGTCACCCCACGTCCAGCAATGCCTTCCTTTTGTCCCCGTATATGAATAGGTGTCTTGGGCGGTCCTGGATTCTTGGCTTGCAATCCTGTTCTCTTATCTCCCTGTAAGCATCGTATTGCTGTCTTCTCACTTGTTTTCCTGCTCATAGATGAGTGGTCTGATGCCAGCCTGATCCTCCTTTCTCAGTAAGCTACTGTCTTCTCTGTTTCGAAACCTATGACTTTCCTCTTTGAACACACAGTTCAAAAATTCCGTAAGGATACAAACCAGACCAGGTGCTATCAAGTTGATTCCAACTCATGGTGACCCTCGTGTGTGTCAGAGTAGAACTGTGCTCCACACGTTTTCAATGGCTAATGTTTTAGAAGTAGATCACCAGGCCTTTATTCGGAGGCACCTCTGGACGGACTCAAACCTCCAATCTTTTGATTAGCAGCCGAGACCACTAACTGTTTGTGTCCCCCAGGGATTCCTACATAAGGACGTATGTGTCTTTTTTCACTAATCCTGCCTGGTAAAGGAAAACTGACAAGAAGCTCAAATATGCACCTTCAAATATGCTGCTATCTGCTGACCCAACCAAAGCAGGAATAAAATCTCAGCTATCTAGATGAGGAATGAACGGCCTGCATATCCTTCAGCCAGCCCTCCACGGATATTATTTCTCAGACCCAAGCTTTTGATAAGAGTTAGACAGTGGAGCACGCAGACTTACAGCCTCTGGCAACAGCCTGGAATGCAGAAACTCCCGTGGTCAAGTAAGGGCAGAATCTCAGGCTGAGGTTTCCTATGTAGCCTGACACGAGGCTGCCGGTTAGAAATGATTTTCTTAAGTTATGTCTGCGATTAAACAGTGCCAGCTGACGGTGTCAGATGGGTAAACTGCTGAGACACAAGCTCAGTTAGCATTAATACACGGCAGGCAGGGGCATTTTTTTTTTTTTTTTTTAACTATCTGATTGCTTATCTGTCCTTTCTGGTATTGAGTATCTGGATTCTGTTACTTTAAGGAATACATAATTAACACTACTTGATGGCTTTCTACATTTCTATGCTTTCACTCAATTTGAGGGAAGGAAAGACACATTTACTGAGCAACCAGTATGCGCAAGACTCTGCGCGGACATGATCTCGCTTAGTGCTGCAAATAACCCCCGGCATTCTCTACTTCCGCACCTGCCATTTTGACAGTTGTGACTGGCTGTCCTACGAGTGGACTATGTAGTTATTGTTGGGAGTTGCTGAGTCCATTTCAACTCATAATGACCTCCTGTGACAGAGCAGAACAGCCCCACAGGGTTCCTAGGCTGTAATCTTTATGGAAGCAGATCGCCAGGCCTTTCTCCCGCGTCGCCACTGGGTGGGTTCGAACGGCCAACCTTTCAGTTAGCAGCCAAGAACTTAACTGTCACACCACCAGGGCTCCTTAAGTGAAATATAGTCATTTTTCATTTTGCTGAGGTGGGCTCTCTTGGGCTATAAAGTTGGTTCGTAGAAGTAAATTCCTGAGTTGGTGAATGAACCTCATGACTATCCAGCACCTGCATCTCAGCCTGGCTTTGTCGTTCTCTATACCACCATGAGGGAGACATTGCTGGCCCAGTGGTAGAATTCCCACCTTCCATGCGGGAGACCCAGGTTCGATTCCCGGTCAATGCACCTCATGAGCAGCCACCACCTGTCTGTCAGGGGAGGCTTGCCTGCTACTATGATGCTGAACAGATTTTAATGGAGCTTCTAGACTAAGATAGATTAGGAAGAAAGGCCTGGCAATCTACTTCTGAAAATCAGCCAATGAAAACCCTATAGATCACAAGTCTGGTCCAAAACCAATCACAGGGATGGTGCCAGACCAGGCAGCGTTCTGCCCCGCTGTGCATGGGGTTGCCGTGAGTCAGGGGCTGACCTCAAGGCAGCTAACAACCACAGCAGCGCCAGGCAGCAGAAACACCTGGGGTGCTTTGTTAAAATTCAGATTCTCGGACCACACACCGTAACAACTGAATCACTACTTCTGATCAGGGGTTCAGGAAGTCAGCATTTTCAACATGTGTCCCAGGCTTGGGAATTTGCAAAGAGCTTATATTACGAAGTAGCCAGGGTCTACTGCAGCCCCTTCGTGAAGCAGAGGAAATGGCGGGGAGAAGAGTGAGGCTGGACTTGGGGCAATTCTCCTGGTCAAACCAAGAGGAGGTGGGGCTGACACGGGATCCACAGTCAGCTGACTTCAAACCCACCGCTCCTTCCACCATACCACACTGTCTCCTAGTGACTTGACAAAACAATTAGAAGATTGTTGGATCAATATTCCGCTGCATTTTTCAATCTGTAAATGCCATCGGAAGGTTAGCCAACAACAGTAATTTACATAATCATTTCCTGTAAAACTTGTTCTACATCCCTGAGTCTCAACCTGGTGGGCAGTTCTGATCTTAGGTGCCGGGG